ATAACATTTTCTAACAATATCAATTTCAATATATATAATTTGTACACTCCAATCCAATGTAAAGTATTTAAAACTAGTAATTGTCTTTCTTTTTCTTTTTTTTTTAAAAACAAGAACCTTAAATCTAATCTCCTTTGCTTAGCTCTTTTCCTAACCCTTGACAACAACTTGTAACCAAGCCCCCTAAACAATGAAAATTATCCCAGACCCAAAACCCATTAAAAGACCAAAAAATCACCCTCCCCACACCACCTCTTTGGGAATGTGGGCGTCGTATTCTTAAAATTGCTTCCTTCTGGGTATGGGCGAAGCTTGCTAATAGTTCTGATCCCTGGGCAACTTTATTAACATACAAATAAAATCACATTTCAGTACAAATAAAATATCACCATAGCCCATAGTCCCTGGCTTTTATTATTTATTATCTTTTATTTAAAAATACTTTATTACATTTTGGTGTGTGTGTGTGTGTTGGCGCATGTATGAGGATGTGCTTCGGTGTGAGTGTGGAGGTCAGAGGACAAGTTTTGGGAGCCAGTTCTTCCCATTCACCATGTGGATATTGGTGGGGATGTGGGGGTGGTGTGGTGGGGGAGTGGGGGAGGCTTGAACTAAGGCAGTCAGGCTTGGTAGCTGGAGGCTTTACCCACTGAGCCACACCCCCAGCCCGTGCCTGGCTGTTTATATAGGAACTGGGGACAGAACTCAGGTTCTCATGGCAAGCGCTTTGTTGACTGAGTCCCGTCCCCAGGCCCTGAAAGGGGAAGTCCACCGGAAGGAGACTGGCGCTTTTTGGTTTGAGGATGGAAACTAGGGATGGAAACAAGTGAGAAAAGGGAATGAGAACGGGGTCCAGGACCCCCACCTATTCTGCTGTTCCCACTGTGGCTGATGGTGTGGGACATGTCCCTCCGAGACAGAAGGGCTGAGGCCTCTTTTATGCAGAGTCACGAGTCAGTCCACTCACCAGTGCGCAGGTGTAAATGGTCACATTGCCAGTGAGAAGAATTGCAGTCAAACGCCAAAGAATGCGGTTGACTGTGAGGACGCCATTGATCAGCAGGTCCCAGGGCACAGCTGAGGACGGGACCCCAGGCACTGGTGGTGACAGAGGTGGTGGAATCTCTCTGGATGTCAAACACAAACTGAATGACAATGAGGAACGTGTGTTTTGAGACAGTCTTGCTATGCTGCTCAGGCCAGCCTTGAACTCCTGATCCTGCTGCCTCTGCCTCCTGAGTGCTGGGATAATGGGTATGCATCGCTGGGTGGCAGTGGGGAGTCTGTCTCAGAGACACAGTGAGATTTCTGGAAGGGAAAGGTGCAAAAATGGCAAGGCAAGACAGTGCCAAGGTTCCTCCACCTTGTGTTCTTGCTGAGGCCAATTCAGGTTTAACTAGAACAGCGGTTCTCAACCTTCCTAACGCTGCCACCCTTTCATACAGTTCCTCATGTTGTGGTGACCCCCAACCATAAAATTATTTTCATTGCTACTTCATAACCATAATTTTGCTACTGTTATAAATCAGATGTAAATATCTGGAGATCATAGCACCAGGAAAGGACACTAATAAGGGGGTTTGGGGCACCACCCAAAGAGCATTTTACCAAATGGAACTGCCCTGCAACGATCCTGATGTGGAACACACTAAACACCCACTGGCCAACACACTGTCATGCAGACTGGTGTTGGGAGTGACCCGCCCATCACTAACTAACTCTGCAGTGAGAGCCTCTCTGGAGGACTCGGGGCCTCACACAGACCCAGGGCTATCATGCATCCTCGGCAGTTAGCTACCAGACCCCAGACCTCGCTGACACTGAAGCCAGCCCCGACTCCCAGCCCCTCACCCTTCTTGACCCCCAGGAGATCTGCAGGCCTCAGGGAGGCCCAGGCTGTGGGTCCCCTGACCTGTGGACGCTCTGTACCCACAGTCACATCTCTGGTAGACCCTGGGCTTGGGCAGAAGGACAGAGAGCCTGAGTTCCGGAGCAAAGCGCAAAGACCTGGGCTTCACCTCCAAAGGAGATGCGGATGGTGACCCAGCTTAGCCCCCAACCTCAGGACAGCATGCTGTTGCGTGAGGAAAGGTTGCAGTTATTAGAACATGGAGCCAGCGGACCCCAGAATGAAACCCCCGAGTGACACTTAGGGACACCTGCTAGAAGTGCTTATGAGGCACCAAGCTAAGTACCATTAGAACCTTGACCTCAGAGGGTGCTTACAAGGCACTGAGCTAAGTACCATCGGAACCTTGACCTCAGAGTGGGCAGCACCTCTGGGGCAGGTGGTGGGAGGGTCAACTTTGTGGAGCAGCTTATCTCCTTCCACCTTAATGTGGCTTCGGGGACCAAACTCAGGTTGTCAGACTTGCATGGCAAGTGCTGTTACCAGCCGAGTCACCTTGATGGCCTCGATAATGAACGTTTCTGTCACCCCAAAAGGTCCCCTGGGAACTACACACCTGTTTTCTGTCAGCACAGATTATCTTACATGTTTGGGAACTTTATATAATTGAAATAATATAGTATATATAATTAGTTTACTTCAATTTTAGTTTTGAGTGGCCCTGAGCTTAGAGATCCACTTGCCTCTGCCTCCAGAGTGCTGGGATCAAAGGCGTGTGACACCCTCCCGACTTATTTTTCTTTGAGACAGGGTTTCTCTGTGCAGCTGTCCTGGCTGGTCTCCTGCCTCTGCCTGGGTGCTGAGATTGAAGGTGTGTGCCACCACCACCCAGCATTTTTCTTTTTAACAGCTTCTTTCTGTGCAGCCCTGGCTAGCCTGGAACTCACTCTGCAGCCCAGTCTGGACCATCTCAAAAAAGCAATAGAAAAGTTTTAATCTATGTATGTGATCCAGCTTGAGTTGATGTGAACATGTGATATGAGGATAGATAAAAATGTTCGTCTTCTGCTGGACACTGTGGTACACGTCTTTAATCCCAGCACTTGAGAGGCAGAGGCAGGTGAATCTCTATGACTTCGAGTCCAGCCTGGTCTACAGAGTGAGTTCCAGGCCAGCCAGAGCTACACAGTGAGACCCTGAAAAAAAAAGTTCATCTTCTGGGCCATTGAGATGGCTCAGCAGATAGACGGGCTTGCTGTGAAGGACTGGGAAACTGAGTTCAATTCTCAAAACCCACCTTAAGGTGGAAGGAGAGAACTGACCCACAAAAGTGTTCTTTGACCTCCACACACACTCCCACCCCACTCATAATAAATCAACAGAATTTTAAAATTTTTAAAAGTTCTTAATTTTTTTGCAACTTGATATAATTGTCCCAGGACATTGTTGGGGAGTCTAGTCTTCTGTCATTCATGGCTCTCAGAATTTAGTTGTTTACATGTGTTTGGGCTCACCTTGTTCTTAAGGAGGACATCAGCTGGTCTACTATGGGGAGAGCATCTCCTTGGACTGATGGTTTTTTAAAATTGGCTGTGTGTGTCTCTCTGTGCATGATTGTGTCTGTGCAGTGTGTGTGTGTGTGTGTGTGTGTGTGTGTGTGTGTGTGTGTGTGTGTGTGGTGTCTTGTGGGAGGGATGCTGGAGAGATGGCTCATCAGTGAGGAACAGAAATTGTTATTTGTTCCCAGCACCCATGTTGGGCAGTCTACCACCACCTGTAGCTCCTGCTCCAGGGGGATCTGATGCCCTCTTCCGGCCCCTGCAGACTTGTGGGTACACACACACACACACACACACACACACACACACACACACACACAGACACACACAGAATAAACATTGGCTGTAGGTGTTGCTCTGTTGCCCAGCTGCCACTAATACTGACTAGGATAGTTATGTGACCTCCAGTCACAGATGGGACAGGGAGCCACCACGTGGGGAAGGTGGTGACATCTATAATCTTGACTTTTAGTTCCTTTCATTTACTAACCAAACACTGGAATTCAGATCTCTACATCAATCATTGGGTTTTTAAATGTGTGTGTGTGGTTTACGTGGGGGCAAGTGGACCTGCATTGTGTGTGCACACATGTGGAAGCAGAGGATTTCCTCCATTTGTGTGTGCACACATGTGGAAGCAAAGGATGACCTCCATTTGTGTGTGCACACATGTGGAAGCCAGAGGATGACCTCAGATGTCATTTTTCCTCAGACATGGTCCACCTTGTTTTTGGAGACAGGGTCTACCACTGGGACCCCGGGCTCCCCGATTAGGCTAGGCTGGCTGACCGTGAGCTTCCGGAGCCGTCTCTGCTTTCCCAGTGCTGAGGTTACAAGCACATACCACACAGGACCGTTTATGCAGGTGTAGCATGCCCAGGCTTGTATGGCATTCACTTAGCTGATTGGGCATCTCCCACCCCTCCATAGCACATTGAATATTATGGTTTGGATGAGTGTCCCCAAAAGTTTAAGTGTTGAAAGCTGGGTCTTCGGCCCATGGCACTGGCTGCTGGAAGGTGGCAGAACTCTTGAGAGGTGGATCCAGTAGGGGGGGTCTCTAGATTATTGTGGAGTGTTCTGGAGGAGACTTTGCATCTCTCCACTTCCTGGATCATGATGTAAGTAGTCTGCTCTACCACTCCCTTTCACCATGGTGGGTCATATTTGACAGAGGCCTAAAGACGTGGGTCTGCCCAGTCTTGGACTGGAACCTGAGGAACAGGAGCCCAAATCATCTTTTTTCTTCTTCTTTTTATCACCTAGTTAGTTGCTTCAGTTATTTTGTTATAGTAACATGAAGCTAAGACTCTCCTGAACTTGTAAAGCTTTAGCTTAAAAAATGCATGCATACCTCATGTAAGTTTTGGAATTAATATAGAATCAGAGAATCAGGTCCTATCCATCTACATCGTCCCTCTCATAGTTAGGAAGCTAACCACTTGTCAAGAAAATCAGTGCTGTGTTTTCCAAAGTCTTCCAGTTGCCATGGGGACACCAAAGTCTCAGAGCTGTTACCCTCTCTGAAGGCTTGGTCCCCAAGTGTCCTTCTCAAAGAAGGAAGCCCGAGTACATGGGGGTCCACAGAGTCATCAAAAGGATGTTTGCTTGCCAGGCAGAGAAGGTGTGTGAGGCTCGGCCATCGTTCTATCTTTCTCTTCTGGAAACTCCACTCCATTTCTCTTGGCAAAAGCGCAGTTTATCTCCACAAATGTCTTGCCCTTGGTTTCAGGAATTACCACGTAGATGTAAGCAGCAGTGAGGACGCAGAGAGCAGAGAAGATGAGGAAACTGTAAGGCCCGATGGCCACCTAGAGCAGAGGGGACAAGGGGCGGAGAGACGCTTCAGACGACATACTCGGTGCCTCTGTGAGTCGTTTTATTCCACTCCCAGAGGAAAAGGACAGCAGGAAAACTGGGCCCATCCCTAGCCTCCAAAAGGCAGCTTTAGTGTTTGGCTCACAGGGACATCATAGGCTCTGGGTCCTTCCCACACTGGAAGTCTGGGGTCTGGCTGACTCAGAGGAGGGAGGTGGCAGGGGTGTGCTCCTCTTTGGGCACTATCATTTTTGATCTTTAACAAAGAGCCGATTCCAACAACTCAGAGGTGCAACCCCCTGTATAAGCAGGGCATGGCATACTAAAGAATTTCAAATTGGGTGCCATGGCATGTGCTTTTATCCCAGCACTATGGATGCTGAGGCAGGAGGGTTAAGAGTTCCAGGTTGGGGATACCGTGCAGTGGGAGGGCATTGCCTATCGTGCATGTTAGGTTCTGGGTGGGATGGCCAGCACAGGAAATAAATAAATAAAAAGAACTGGACCGAAGCAAGCCTCACATGGAGCACCTAAGAGCTGCTTTGGTAGCTTTGAGTTGGTAGATGTGGGGGGCATTATTGCTGTGTTTTGAGATAAGAGTTCATGTATCCCAGGTTGGCCTCAAACTCTCTGTGTAGCTAAGGATGGTCCTGAACATATGATCCTCCTGTCTCCACCTTCCAAGTGCTGGTTTTACAGGCCTGTACCACCATACACAGTTTATGCTGTGCTGGGGATCGAACCCAAGCCTTCGTGCATGCTAGGCAGAAACTGAACTACATCCCTAGCCTCAGGAGGTGTTCTTCCTAAAGGAGGGACTTACCTTGAGGTGAGGCAGGGTGGCCAAGGATGGCACAAAGGGTCACTCACCTGGATGGATGGGAATGCCAAGCCTACGATGAAGTTGGTGAGCCAGTGCACAGCTCCATCTACCGTGAGTGCAGCTGTCCGAGAGGACTGCAGGACAATCTCTGTCCTCACCACGGAGGGGACAGGACCTGGGAGGACGGGAGGTTCAGAGGGTCCTGAAGGCTGCTCGGACCTCACTTCGAACTTCAGACCCTTAGAGCACCTTATGTCCCTGTGTGGACCACCCCTGCCAGGACTGGGGGCTGAAAAGAAACTCCATCTTTCCCCCCAGACTGCAGCAGAGGCCTGGAGAGCCAGGAGTGGTAGCTGGCACTGTTTCTTCAACTGGATGCCAGCGAAGGTTTGTAGCAGTCCACCGGGTGGAAAGCTTCTCAGGGTCCTCACAGTGCAAATCCTCTCCAGCCCTGCTCTAAATAGGCCCAGTTTTGCAGTTCTTGCTTGTCAGGGGCTTGCTGTGCCCTGCGGTGAACTTCTGGCTTGCACATTGCTGTCCCCTGTAATGAGCATGGCGATCTAGGGCCTTCTCTCCACCCCTTTCTTGAGTCCAGAGCTCTCCTCAGCTGCCTCATTATTTCCCCATAAGGAGTCTTGTCTAAGTGCTCTATAGCTATGTTTCCCTAGTTGCTACCTCCATGGGGGAAAAATATTTTTTAGGGTTCAGTGTGTAAAGGTGTTAGCTGCCAAGCCTGAGGACCTGAGTTGACCCTGAGACTCACAGAGTGAAGAAGAGAACCAGTTCCACAAGCTGTCCTCTGACCCCTACATACGCAGTGTATGTAGTGTATGCAAGCACAGAGACATACGAATATTAAATAAAACGTAAAAAAAAGATAAATTGGGTTGGGCAGTGTTGGTGCCCACCTTTAATCCCAGCAATTGGGAGGTAGAGGCAGGTGGATCTCTGTGAGTTTGGGTCCAGCCTGGTCTACAGAGCAAGTTCCAGGACAGCCAGGGCTACCCAGAGAAACCCTGTTTTGAAAAACAACAACAACAACAAAAAAAAAAAAAAAAGAAAAGAAAGAAAGAAGATGATTAAATAAATAAATTTATGTTTTAGACAGGAGCTCATTTTCAGGCTGGTTTTCAATTCACCTTGTAGCTGAGGATTGTGTAGTCCTGGCTGGCCTGGAACTCATAATGTATGCACGATGCATACATCAATAAAATAGGTAATACATTTTAAAAAATTGAGTGGGTCTGGAGCTGGGCAGAGTAACACACAATTGTAATCCTAGCACTTGGGGGCTGAGGCAGGAGGGCCGTGAGTTCAAAGCCAGCTTAGGATACACAGTACAAGTCTGACTTAAAAAATCAAAACAGTTTGGGTGGTGGTGGTGCACGCCCTTAATCCCAGCACTTGTGAGACAGAGCCAGGCAGATCTCTGTGAGTTTGAGTCCAGCCTGGTCTACAGAGTGAGTTCTGGGACAACCAGGGCTACACAGAGAAACTCTGTCTCAAAAAACCAAAACAAACAAACAAACAAAAAACCAAACAACTTAAAAACAAAACAAAACAGAAAAAATGGACATTGGAGCTGTGTAGGTCAGAGGATGAGCAGTTTGAAGGGTGGTGGTGGGAGAGAGGTGGATGGACGGACAGCCACCCATTCCCCAAGCACTCATAGCACCAGATGTGAGTCAGGCTCTAGAGACTGGTATAGGTAAAGCAGGTGTGCAAGAACTCACTGGGCCCGATGGAATGTCCCACGATGTAGGCGAAGACGCAGACGATGCCGAGGTAAGACAGCTCAGGAACTGTGCTCTGTGGGAGAAGCAGCGCTGTGGGGCCCAAGCCAAGAGCCTCATGGGAAGCTGAGTCCACCTGTGGGTTCCACCCTCCCACTGCAGGAGCTCTGAGCCCCACAGAGGCTGCAAGGATCGGGACGGAGACAGAACATTCCCGTTCATCAAGGCTTCCACAACCTTACCTGACGGTGGTGGGGCTGGACAGAGCTGCTTTTCCCTCATGCTGGAGTCAGACTGCTTCGCATTCACAAATTGACTGCGTTTTATCTTCATGTGACCCTCTCTGAGTGTGGATACTATTATTTCTATCCCACAAACGTGGACTCAGAGCCCACTGATCCCTGAACACAGACCAGGAAGACCTCAGCCCCTCAGGGGCAGAGTAACGGAGGGGCACAATCTTGAGGTCGCTGGGTGGGAATTTCAACTCATTTGACAAGTGTCTAGAGAAAAATCCTTCTAGGGACCTTTAGGGCAAGGGAGCCCCAGACCACTTCCCTGCTCTCAATGGCTGATTCAAAACCAGGTTAACAGGCATAAACCGAACGGTATGGCAGGCTCCCAGCTAAGTGGCCAGCTAGCCATTGAGAATCAGGATGGATTCTGCAAGGGAGCCGTTGATGGCATGGTAGGATGCCATGAAGGGTCAGAGGATGGACAGCCACCAGGGCTTCTGACAGAGGGACATGATCTTTTCCCTTCTATTACTTCCTCCTGGTTTATGTATCGAGTCCTGGCCAGCCAGGCCAACATAAGTCCCCAAGTATGTATGTGTGTATGTATATTTTCTTAATGGTTTTTCAAGACAGAGTTTCTCTGTGTAGCTCCGGCTGTCCTGGAACTCACTTTGTAGACCAGGCTGGCCTTGAACTCACAGAGATCTGCTTGTCTCTGCCTCGTGAGTGCTGGGAGACTGCCACCACTGCCCAGCGTCCCCAAGTATTTTGTAGGACCTACTGTAACTGCTTCCTTTCCAGGTTCATCCAGATCTAGTGTTCAAGATATTTTGAACACTGAGGCTTAGCGCTCTTGACATCTGTCAGGATTTCAAGAGGGGATCTGGGCCCAGCTGTCTCCATTGCAGGGGAGTGTCTCAAGACTACATTTACAAATCAGAGTCCAGGGGCCCGAGAGATGGCTCCGTGGTTAAGAGCATTTGTTGCTCTTCTAGCGAACTCCAGTTCAGTTCCTAGCTTCTATATCAAGTGGTTCACAACTGTCTGTTATTGCAGCGACACACTGGGTTACAGCCTAGATTTGAGGGCCCAGTGGAGCAAAATCACTCCCGAACAAACACTGGGAATGGGTTTTATGAAGCAGTTGGCCATGGAAGGAGGCAGCGGGAAAGGACTGAGATCCAGCCATGCAATGGGGACCTCGAGCTCCCCATGGCAACCCCCCATCCACAGGGCAGGACATGAGAACAGACCTGAAGGAGGAGGGCCACAGTCAGCACCAGGCAGGCAGAGCCACAGATGCCATAGCCAGACAGCAGGAGAATCCGCCGCCCCAGACGCTCCACGATGACTGCCTGCAGGGGAGTGGATGAGGAGGAGGCTCTAAGTACTGAGGGTTGACCCTGAACCTCCACCCTCTCCTGCTTGGCTCTCCTTGTTCACCCCTGCTACACCAGGTGACCTACTTGGTTTAAGTTACACATTGGGATTCCCCACTACTGTCTTCGTCATTTACAGACCCCTGGATTATCTACTCCCTATAATAACCACATTAAATTTTTTATGTGGGTGTGTGTGCTTCCTTGACTTGTAATGTACTCTATGTGCATGCAGTACCCTCGGAGGACAGAAGAGGGAGTTGGATTTCCTGGAACTAAGGCTACCGTGGGTTGTGAGCTATGGGTGCAAGAACAGTGGATGCTTTTAACTGCTGAGCCATCTCTCCAGGCCAGTAACAATGTTTCCCAGTCTCCGCATGAGATGCGTTGACACAAGCTAGAGTCACAGGGGAAGAGGGAGCCTCAGTTGAGAAAATGCTTTCATAAGATAGAGCTGTAGGCAAGCCTGTAGGGCATTTTCTTAATTAGTGACTGGTGTCCAGTCCATTGTGGGTGGGGCCATCCCGGGGCTAATGGTCCTGGTGTTACAAGAAAATGGGCAGAGTGAGCCATGATGAGCAAGCCAGGATGCAGCATCCCTCTGTGGCCTCTGCATCAGTTCCTGCCTCCAGGTTCCTGCCCTGCTTGAGTTCCTGCCCTGAGTACTTTTGATGATGAACTGTTATGTGGAACTGTGAGGGAGACAAACCCTTTCCTCCCCAAGTTGCTTTTGGTCATGGTGTTCCATCACAGCAATAGTAACCTAAGACAAGACACCAACACATTGTTTTTTGTGATACCATTATGCACCCCTAGAAACATTTTGGTTTCTCTCTATCCTCCTCAGCCAGCCAGCTCAACCAGGACCTTGCAGTTACACAAGTTGATTCCAGTTCCCGCAATGGGCCTGCAGACAAGTGTTCTAGTTAAGGTTGTTCTAGCTGAGCCTGCTCTACAGGCTTGCCTACAGCCCAGTCCCATTTTCTCAATTGAGTATCCCTCCTCTCTGATGACATTAGTCTGTGTCAAGTTGACATAAAACTCGCCAGCACAACTGACTCCTTGTCAACTTGACACACAAACACATCACTGTTAAGCTCTTGTGGGCTGCAAGAATGTATTATAGAGATTCAGCTGTGTATTAAAGCTATACTTTGACCTACCAAGGTTCCATTAAATGGGAAGCCATTTATCACGGACTGTTTGGTGTTATACAACCTTAATATTTAGCTGCGCCTTGCTATGAATTTCTTGTGGATTCATATATCACTAGACCATTTGGCGAACAGTTCAGCTCCTCAGACCTGCTGAACCTCTAGGTAACTAACTCCCCCGCTGAGTCTAGGAGACAAGCAGGCTGTAGATGCATAGCTTTGCTTCTTGTGCAAATGAAGCGCAGACCATCCCCTTCTCTCTGGCTAGGGGCATGGCAGAGAGATTGACTGAGGGCAATAGGGCTTTTTGCATAACCAGGTGCAGTAAGGACTGCGGAATCCCAGAGGCGACACAGAACCCAGTGGCCAGAGAGAAGAGAGGAAGACAGAGGTTCCGTGGAGGGTAAAGCAGATCTGTGGTAGAATTTATCAGGGCCAGGGCTAAGGAGCCAGGAAGGATAGATGGAGGATGAAGGGACAGAGGACATAGAATTTTGTCATAGAGGAATAAAGTAAACAGACAAAGAGCATGGTGTATGTAGATTCCTTTCCCTCAGATAACCCCCACCAGACTTAGCATCTTCCCCAGGACTCTGGGAGGAATTGTCTCAGGGCTGGCCTTGGGAAAATTCAATTATCTTTATTAAGCCACAACTCTTCCTTTCTCACTCATCCCCAAGATGGCACAGTGATAAAGACATCTCATTATAAAACATTTCACAGCCTGAAAAGCCCCCATCTTATAAACTCAAACACTTTAAAATTCCCTTTAAAAATATCCAGTCTCAGCTGGACATGCACACCTTTAATCCCAGCACTTGGGAGGCAGAAGCAGGTGGATCTCTGTGAGTTCGAGGCCAGCCTTGTCTACAGAGCAAATTGCAGGACAGCCTGGACTACACAGAGGAACCCTGTCTCGAAAAACAAAACACAAACAAACAAATATCCATTTTCTTTTGAAACACAAAGTCTCTGTAAAACTCCAAAATGTCTTTTTTAGAGGTTTAAAGTCTCTCAACTGTGGGATATGGTAAAATTTAAAAAAAATTAAATATTTTCTTACTTCAAAAAGGAAGAACCGGCCGGGCGGTGGTGGCGCACGCCCTTAATCCCAGCACTTGGGAGGCAGAGCCAGGTGGATCTCTGTGAGTTCGAGGCCAGCCTGGTCTCCAAAGCGAGTTCCAGGAAAGGCGCAAAGCTACACAGAGAAACCCTGTCTCGAAAAACCAAAAAAAAAAAAAAAAAAAAAAGGAAGAACCAGGTCATAGTCACAGTCTGCACAAAGAACACCCAAACTCCAACATTGTAAATAACTAAATGTCTAATGTCTGAGATTCATTCATGACCTTCTGGCTCCTCCAAAGGGCTTGGGTCACTTCCCTGTCTCAGTTCTCTGCAGCACACACAGCCTGTCTTCTCAGCCTGGGCAGGCCCCACTCCACAGCTGCACTGTCCTTGGTGGTCACCCCACGGTACTGGCATCTCCAAAATGCTGGGGTCCCCTGCTGTAGCTGGACTGTGCCTTCACCACCAGCCTCTCCTGGGCTCTCCTCATGGTGCCAAGCCTCAGCTTCTCCCCAGGCCTCCAACTGCTACCCAGGCTGCACCTTCACCACTGGCCTCTCCTGGCCTCTCACAGTGCCAAGCCTCAGCTGCTCTCCATGACCCCTTCATACCTCCAAAACCAGTACCACCGGGTGAGTCTTACCGTACCAGCTTCAGCTGCCAGCAGAGGGTACAACCTCGGCCACCTCTGGAACACAACTGTGTGCTGACCCTGAGGATACACTTCCTGAAAGATTTTCACCTCACTGATGCTTGTCTCTTCTTAATCACCGCTGATTCTTCAGCCCCAGCGAACCAGAACCACAGAAGATCAACTCAAAGTAGCAAACAGCCCTTCAAGTGACTCTCAAGCTTCCCTCTGGAAATTCACAAGCCAGGCCTCCATCATCTGCACTGCTCTAACATTCTTATCTTCCAAGTTCCCACACAGCTTTGAACACTCAATGGCCTTTCTAGCCCAAAGTCCTTCCACAATCCTCCCCAAAACAATGTGGTCAGGTCTGTCACAGCAATACCTCATGATCCTGGTACCAAAGTCTGTGTTAGTCAGGGTTCTCTAGAGGAACTGAGCTTACAGAATGAATATATATATATATATGGGGATTTGTTAGAATGGCTCACAGGCTATGGTCCAGCTAGTCCAACAATGGTTGTCTACCAACAGAAGGGCAGTAGCTGCTCAGTCCACAAGGCTGGATGTCTCAGCTGGTCTTTAGTAGATGCTGGAATCCAAAGAAAGTAGGCTCTAATGTCAGTGAAGGAATGAACTTGCCGGTGAGAGCAAACAGGCAGAGCAAAAGCGTCCTTCTTCCAGGTCCTTTACATAGGCCGCCAGCAGAGGCGTGGCCCAGATTAGAGGCAGATCTTCCCAATTCAAAAGATCTGGATTAAAAGTGGGTTTTCCTACTTCAAATGATTTATCTAAGAAAAAAAAAAATCCCTTACACGTGTGCCCAGCTGCTTGGGTTTTAGTTAATTCCAGAGGTAGTCAAGTTGACAACAAGAATTGCCATCATAGCTGGTTTGGGAGCATTTGTTTGTTTTTGAGTCTCATGTTGCCCAGACTGGTACTGAACTCACTATATCATCAAGGATGACTTTGAACTTCTGATCCTCCAGCCTTCACTTCCCAAGTGTTGAGATTATAAAAGTGAGCCATTATGTGTAGTTTGACCCCAGTGTTGGGGACTGAACCAGGAACTTGTGCATGCTAGGCAACACTCTACCAACTGAGCTATACCCCAACCCTTGACCAAGGTTACTCAACTAGTGCCCCAGGACTAGGGTCACCTGCACTCTGGCCTGAGGGGCTTCTGTATTCCAGTCAGGGGGTTGTTTGGGGAACCTGCAGTGAGAGAGAGGCTGCTCCCCAATAACTCACCGAGACGACAGTCATCACCAAGTTGATCACACCAGAGCCCACTATCACGTACTGGGACTGGGTGGGGTCCACACCAGCCGAGGTGTAGATGATATCCGCATAGTAGTTGACCTAGAGCACAGATAGAGCTGTGAGCAGAGGGCTGAGACATGTCACTGGATCCCTACTCTCACTTTGAACAACGCACAGTTTGGGGAGCCTGGACTGGGAAGCCTGGGTTAGGATGGAGGCAGAAGGTGGTGGTGAAGCTAGGCACCTGCTAGATCTGACTCTGCCCTGAGTTCTAGGCTCTGCTGACTCTGAGTCTTGGCTTCTGGGCCTGTAAAATGGGAGCATCTTACCTATGTGCATTTACACCCTGCAAACTCAGGGGCCAGCCCTGGCCCGTCCCAGGACAGTCCCCACTAGGTGGCTCCCAAGATCACTTGCTAAACAATTCAACACTGGAAGGGCAGGTGTCGCCTCTTCCTGTTACTTCTCTTAGCCACAAACAGGGTCACCTTTCCTTTCTCCAAGGGCTCCAGATGTTTGGGATTCTCTAGCTATTTGCCCATCTGCAGACAGAGCGGAAACAGCCGCCACAGAACATGACATCATATTTCCACAGCAAGTGAGTCTACCAGGGCCTCCTGACCCAGGGTGGACCAATCGATGGCCCTTCCCTGGAGCCTGCGACTGGGACCAGAGGTCAGGTCAGACACTTCTCCGCAGGTCTCTTAAGGAGAGTAAATAACTAAAGGCAATGGATTTTCTTTTGGGGATTAAGAAACAAAGAAAAAAAGTATATAGTAAGAAAAATGCAAAGGGTGGGCAGAGGCAGAGAGTGTCTGAGCTGCTGCTTTGCCCTAGATATCCTGTCCCAGCTTCCCAGGACCACAAATGTGGCCGACCTTCCTTAGTCAGACACCAGTTTCTGTAAATAAGGCCTGGTTTTGCTTTTTCTCTTTCCAGTGGGTTCTCTCTCTCTCTCCTCTCTTTTTCTCTTTTTAAAGATGTACTTATTCTATCTTATGTTCGTGGGTGTTTAGCCTGAATGTATATGTCTGTGTACTATGTGCATGTGGTGCCCACAGCTTCCAGAAGAGGGTGTTGTGTCCCCTGGAACTAGAGTTACAGATGGTTGTGAGTAACCATGTGGGTACTGGGAATGGAACCCAGATCCTGGGCAGGAGCAACCAGTGTTAACTGATGAGCTATCTACATCTATATATCTGTCTGTCTGTCTTCTTTCCTTCCTTTCACTGATGAACTGTCTACATCTATCTGTTTATCCATCTTTCTTTTGTTTTTGTTTATGAGATTTAATCTTGACTGTACAAAAGGAACCAATACAAACAAAATAATGAAGACAAGGCAAATGATGCTCCAGACATCAGAAAAGCAGACTGGCGGCAGGAAGCAGGGGAGGTCTTCCTCTGCCGTTTTCTGCCAAGTACAGAAGATGCAGGTTTCAGTCACTCTAGAGAGGTGGAGGAACGCTTTCTGCCAAGATGGAGGCTTCAAAAGAAGCTGTTGTTCACATGGGGAATAGTGATGTGTGTGTGTGACCAGATGTCCTGTTGTTCTTGTGCTCTCATCCCGACCTAGAACTCCTCAAACAGCACATACACACACACACACACACACACACACACACACACACACACACACACACAATAACCCTGGAATCAACAGCTGTCTCTCACACACACAAAACAAACAAACAAACAAACAAACAAACAAACAAACAAAAAACCTGGAATCAACAGTTGTCTGTCAAAAATATTGTTGAAAAAGTTGGTTGGAGACTCAGAGGGTACAGGGACAGAGGCGTCACAGATTCCGCAGGACACAGCGTAGTTAGGGGTCAGCAGTCCTTCTGTCAGCAGGAGTCCAAGGCAGAGTCCCTGAGGTCACTTTGGGGTCGACAACAGACGTTAAATGTCTAGTAAGAAGGCGTGAGCACGCTCACTGAGCCCACACTACCAGGCAGCTGGTGGGCTGGGGAAATGTGACGGACGTGGATCCTCATCCTGCTGCAGGAGGCCGGTGGGTATCACGCCTGTCTAGTGTGTTTGTGGTGACCTCATCACAGAGCACAGAACAGTGAGTTTGCAGGAAGCTGAGCAGGGGTAGCCTGGAGAGGTCCTCCAGATGTAGAGCATTCCAAATGGCTTCCTAATACCCAACTCAGCCATATGTGGATGTCCTCTGATTAAGAAGGAGACAGGGCCAGGCAGTGGTGGCACACACCTTTAATCCCAGCATTTGGGAGGCAGAGGTAGGCACGTCTCTGTGAGTTCGAGGCCAGCCTGGTCTACAGAGCAAGTTCCAGGACAGTCAGAGAAACCTTGTCTCAAAAACAAAACAAAACAAAAAGATAAAAAGAGATGTGCTCTTGATAACCCCGCTCTGCCTTGGCCTGCTGTACCCTCTTATTTCTGCTCCAACTTGACGTTCTTAAGCTCCTGTATTACCCCATCCAGGAAGTCCTGGGAACTTTCCTTGTAAGCCACAGCTAATCAAATTGCAACATTGAAGAGCTTCACAACATTAGTACCATCGGCAGCTGAGGCAGAGTACAGGGGCAAGGAGAACTTCTGGGCAAAACTGAAGTTCTTTTGAACAATCTATATGTCTGCATCGATTATTATTGGCCACCAGGGTGCTGGGGCTCTCTGTCCTGAACTCCTGAAGTTCTGCATACCAGGTACTCAGGTACTCAGAGGTGATTTTCCTCTAGACATCAAACACCATGATGCAGGCTTGAGCCTGTCGTCGGAGGAGGCAGGCATGCTCTGGAATTGCTCCTGGTCTGCTGCATCCCAGAAGTCCGCAAGGATTGCCTTGCGTCTCTGTGGTCATGCGCTTATCCGGAGTCAAAGCACATGTGGACAGTTGCTGTGGCTGAAATCCATCCATGAGAAACATCTACATGAGTTTGAGGGTGCCCATGGCATTGTCCCCAGCAGATGATTGTCACGTTATCGTGAGCATCATATTTCTCTTGGTCCAGCTCATAATGCTGGGGTTCTGTCCCCTGCCATTGGCTGTAGACAAGAGCTGGCCTTGGGGTCTTTTCGCTGTCTCCTTACAGGCCACTGGGCTCTGGTTGCAGCTTGGCCGTGTGTCTCCATCTTTATTGCATATATTTATTCTCTCCCCATCCCCCCCTGTGTGTGTGTGTGCGTGTGTGCGTGTGTGCGTGTGTGTGTGTGTGTGTGTGTGTGTGTGTGTGTGTGTGTGTGTGTGTATGTGCGTGTGCCTCATTCCATGGTGTGGGTCCCAGGGATCAAACTCAGGTTGTCAGGCTTGGGGGCCAGCGCCTTAATACTGAGCCATCTTTCAGGCCTGGGTCCTATTTCTTGCAAAGGAAACACCCAGAGTAATAACATGCGCTGTGCTACCTGAACCCCTCCACCCAGCACCAGCTTTGCAGCTCATCCCTCCTGGAGGCCAGACTGAGCTTCACAGGAATCAAAATGCAAAATGCTACTCTTGAGCCTTCTGTGCATTCATGAAAAAAGACCCAAGGGGACCGAAAATCTGGGGAGAGGTGGCACCGCGCACCGCGTTGATCCCAGACAGCTGCTGACCCGCCATGAGCACGATGATAGAGATCAGCTGCCAGCGCAAGGGCCGAAAGGTGAGGAGGTTGAGTACCGACAGGCGACCCTCCTCTCGCTCCTTGCGCTCCTCCTCGCGCATTTCTTCCATCTCGGCCTCCACGTCGTAGTTGCAACCTCGCAGCCTCCTTAGAGCTGCAGAGCAGAGAGGTGGCATGCCACACTCACCCTCTGCTTCTGCTGTATCTCAGCCAGGCCCTTCTCCAGAACCCAGGCCTCACCCCAATCACACTGTCCACCCAGCGCAGGCTCTCTGTTCTCAACCCCTGTGACCCTGACCCCGATCGCGATCTCACCAGATGGCACTTGCCCGATCCATGCCGTTTTGTACATTGGGGGCTGTGGGTGAGCAGCCTGTGTCCCAGTACCTTGTCTTGCCGTTTTCTCGTCCCCTTTCTCAATCAGGGTGTAACGGGGGCTCTCGGGGAAGAAGGGCAGCGAGAGAAGCTGAATCAGCGCAGGGACCCCCGTGAGAGCCAAGAGGATCGGCCAGCCTGGACAGGACAAACGTGACAGCTGGAGACTTGAATCTGCCACAAGGGGCACACAGGGGCACAGGGATTTCCCCCTCCTTCTTCGCCCCGCCCCCTTGCCCAACCAGGTGATAAGCAAGGGTGATGGGCACCTAGTCCTTGCCAAACTGTGGCTGCCCACAAAGGGCATCCATGTTAAAAGAGAGGAGAGGGCTTGATGGGTAAGAACACTACTCCCTAGCACCTACCTAAAAAGCTGTGTTTGTCTGTGTGTGCCCATGACCCCAGCATTCCGGCGGGCGGTTAGGGGTGGGTGCGAGAGCAGTGGCGGCAGATCCAGGGAGCTCATTGGCTGGGCAGCCTAGCCTCACTTATATCTGAGTTTTCTCCCATCTCTAGGACTCAGCAACCCCACCCTAGGCAAAGTCTTATACCCACAAGCTGACCTAAAGGTCACCAAAACACCTTCCTGTTTGGACCACTGGTAAGTTTGGGCTCAGCTGAGCCTCAGCCTCACCACTCATGCTGACAGTTTGCCTCTCCCACCCCATCCACACATGTGGTTACCTGTGGCATTGCCCAGGATGGATTGCAGACTGAATATCTGTGCCAGGAGGACTCCGATGATGACAAATACCTCCGTCATTGTCCCTAACGTCCCCCTCAGGTTCTTGGGAGCCAGTTCTCCCAGGTACATGGGGAGAACACTGTAGGAGATGCCTGAGTCAGACAAAATGGGAATCAAAGTCAAGAGCAGTCCCCAGGCTCTCAGAACCCAGTGCCTAAGGTTGACTCAACCCATCTCTTAATCCTTGAGTCTCACTGGGACAGGAAGAGGATGATGCTGATTGTTTAGTTTGAACCTGCAGCCACAGCTCTCCCAAACCTCCCCTTTCAGCCCTGCTAGAGTGTGAAAATTGTCTGCCAAGAAATTCCTTTTCTGTAAAGTCTGGCATTTAGACAAAAGCTAGCAACCCTCAGGAGCTTGAGAAAATAGTGGCTCTTCCATTAACTATGCCTGTGGTGCCTATTAGCACATCAAGGTCTATGCCAGCCTCTAGGTTCCATCAATCCTCACTCACAAGTACCTGTTACAGACTTCAAAGCCCTCCACCCCCCCCCCCCCCCCCCCCCCCCCCCCCCCCCCCCCCCCCCCCCGCTCACAGGCTCCCCTCCCCTCAGGCCAGGTACCTATTCCCTTAAAACCCTAGAAATGTCTCACTCCCACCGGACCCACCACCACCTGGAAAACGGAAGAAACTCAGAGAGGAAAAAGGCAGATGGCTTGACCCTTGTGTCTAGCCTTGGCCCTGGTGCTGGGCACCCCTGTCTCAGAGCTGCCCCTCACCAGTGCACACCAGACCAACCTGGGTCTTCAGTGGCCACTCTGGGTACCTGCACAGATCCCCACCAGCACTCGAGACAAGATGATCAGCTCAAAAGCCCGGGCCACTTTACTGACTCCCATCAGGATGGCAGGGGTGATGGCGAAGATATTGTTGATCAGCAATGTTCCTTTTCTGCAAGACAGCAGGGCCCAGAGGACGGGGTGCCCAGAACAGGCTTTTTCACACCAAACCTAATATTCCAGACTGTTCCCTGCAAAGGAGCTACACTATGCCTGAGAAGGGCTGGTGGGTGGGGCTGTGTCCTGGAGTGTCCCCCAGGGTCATGCATGGGCAGCAATCCTCACTCCTCAGGGGCTTCAGATGACTCGGGTAAACTCCTGATAGGACTAGAGCTCTTGTAACACATAACGCGCCATACAAATACAACAGAAAGCCCAAGGTGACCAAGAATGGGAAAGCAGTAAGGAAACTGTCTGTCAAAGTTCCAGGAAGGGGAGGGCTTGCTAGTGGGATGGTGGAGGGGGCGGTGCCCTCCAAACACTGTAGCTTCCGGTGGCTGGGGGTAAGCCCCACTGGTGATGTCTAGACCAGACTTGATGCTGGTCAGGGATGTTGACCAGGTAGATTCGCATAACAGATGTGGTGCAGAATGGGACTGGATGACCTCTACAATGAAACCCATGGTCTGTGAAGGGGAGAGGGAGGTCTGCACAGCAGCACTGATCCGGTTGCCCTCCCGGCCCCAGAAGCTACCTTTTGTTGTTTGCTTGTTTTAGTTTGTTGAAATAGGGCCTCATGTGTCCCCAGCCGGCCTTAGATTTGCTTTGTGGCTGGTGCTCCTGCCTCCACCCGCAGAGGGCTAGACTACAGCTGTGTTCTCCCACACCCACTCCAGGGGACTAGATCACAGCTGTGTTCTCCCACACCCACTCCAGGGGTTAGATCACAGCTGTGTTCTCCCACACCCACCCCAGGGGTTAGATTACAGATGTGTTCTCCCACACCCACTCCAGGGGTTAGATCACAGCTGTGTTCTCCCACACCCACCCCAGGGGTTAGATTACAGATGTGTTCTCCCACACCCACTCCAGGGGTTAGATCACAGCTGTGTTCTCCCACACCCACCCCAGGGGTTAGATTACAGATGTGTTCTCCCACACCCACTCCAGGGGTTAGATCACAGCTGTGTTCTCCCACACCCATTCTAGGGGTTAGATCACAGCTGTGTTCTCCCACACCCCAGCTGCAGACTGCTGCAGGTGAAGCCAGGTCCTTAGGAAAATGGCCTCTGCTAGGCACCACTCAGATGTGCCACTTTTCCCCTGGAGCCCCTGAAGACCCAGGAGGATAAACAGCACATACAGTCCCATCTATAGTCCTGATACCCTCTTACCCTCCCTGATCCCCAAGAAGTCTACTGGCCTCAGGGGGGCTCAGGCTGGTGGGAGCCAACTAGGCAGCTGACACCAGATCCTCTCCCGACTCCTCATTTGCAGTGAGTCTAGGGAGACAGTCTTTAAGAGGCTGGCTGTGGCAGCGCTCACCTTTAATCCTAGCACCTGGAAGGCAGAGGCAGGTGGATCTCTGTGAGTGACAGGTCAGCCCAGTCTACAGAGCCAGACACTATCTCAAAAAAAAAAAAAAAAAAAAAAGTTCTTTAAGCTTCCCCTACAACCAAAGTTTCATAACCAAGGAGGAGGAGGAAGGATCGCCTGGGTTTCTAGAACAGTCTAATCGATGTTTGCAATGTGATAAGTGTACATAGGCTGACCTGCAGCATAATTAGAATCTATTGAGTTCTTTCTTCACTCAACTGCACAAGAAAGGGCAAGTTCACTGTCCACCAAGTATTACAAGGAGAGGAGGCCTCTGGGTCCAGTTTTCATAAGTAGACAATTTCCAACTGATAATATTTTCTTTAACACATGAAAAGTAAACTGCCGTATTTTTAGAGTTATTTTTTCATTATAGGTTCTCCACTCCCCATCCTCACACAGCCTACCTTAGTGTGACAAGTTCAAGTGAGCACAGGGACCTTGACCTGTACAGCCCTCCTTATCTTCAGCATGCCTCTGCAACATGGGCCTGTGAGTAGTCAAGCAAAGTACACAGACTGGGCTTCACCTCCAGCAGAGATATGAGACCAAGGCACGTGTGGTGTCTCACTCAGCCCAGCTCCCAACTTCAGGACAGCTGCTGAGCCCATGTGAAGAGTGCTGCTGGGACCGGAAGCCATCTGACCCCAGAATGAACCTCCTTGAGCAGCATTTCTGAACATCTGCCACAAGTGCTTACGAGGCACCAAGCTAAGTACCATTAGAACCTTTGACCTCAGAGGGTGCTTACAAGGCATTAAGTTAAGTACCATCGGAACCTTGACCTCAGAGGGGGCAGCACCTCTGGGGTAGGTGGTGGAAGAATACTTCTCCTGTGCAGCTGCCCAGGAAAGATCCCAAAGAGCCTTGATGTCTGTGGCAATGTGGAAGCTTGCTTTCAGATCTGATTTCAGGGTGGTCTCAGCTTCCCACCAGGAGCTCAATCACCAGGAGAGCCTGTGGCTTGCTGTGATGAATTTCAAGTTTGGGAATGACATCTACTATTTACCTGCCCCACTTGTTGACCATTAGGCCAACAATCAAGGACCCGAACACGCCTCCCAGAGGGAACATGGAGACAGTGCAAGACCACAGGAGCAACAGGGAATTCTCGTCCATGAATCTTCCATGCCGTTCAAAGTACGTGTCATTGTAAAACGATTTGAAGACCTGGAAGACAGGGCCCCACATTGCTCAAGATACTACCACAGCTCACAGAAATGGTGACGTAAGTGTTCTTAGCTGCAACTGTCGTCTCATAGAGGGCTGTTCCTGCCAGTACCCGCAGGACACTATTGACCCTAGTGGCGCTCTGTTGGTATCTGAGAGAAAAGTAATACTCTGAGTGAAGGGAAAGACATGGGAAGCCAGAATGAGCAAAAATTGTTAAAAATTCACTTTCATAGCCTTATTCTGCCAGAGGCAATGTAGGAAAGACTCAGACTAACTGGGTGACTTTGGGCAGCGAGTCAGTCTCCATAGTCTTAATCTCCTCACCAGTTACACAAAGCATCTTCTGTCTGAGAGAGACAGGCTTCTACAGCCACGACAAAACACCTGAAGCAGCCTGGGGACAGAAGGTTTATTTCATCTTCCAGCTCTCAGGTCATACTCCATCACTAAGGGAAGTCAGGGCAGGAACCTGGAGGCAGGAGCTGTGAGCTCACTGGCTTGCTTCCCCACGGCCTTCTCAGCCTGCTTTCTTATACAGCCCTGGACCACCTGCCCAGGGATAACACCACCCACAGAGAGCTGTGTTGTCTCACATCACTCATCAATCAAGAAAATGCTTGGCCAATCTAGAGGGAGTATTTTCTCAAGTTAGGTTCCCTCTTCCAAAATGACTCTAGCTTGTGTCTAGTTGATATAAAACTAGCTGGCACATTAATTATAACAGCGATAGTACTTGGCCTGTGTCATCCTTAGAAGAGATGGTCCAGGGCTGGGCATGCAGTTCAGATGGTAGAACACTTGCCCAGTGTAAATGAAGCCCTGGGTTCCATCTCCAACCCCGAATAAGATCAGCTATGGTGGTGCACACCTGTAATCTCAGCATTTGGGGGAAGTAGAGGCAGGAGGATCAGAACTTCAAGGTCAGCTTCAGCTACATATAGACTTTGAGGTCAATCTCAACTACCAAAATTCTGCCTTACAAAGTGGAGTGGGGGCGGTGGTGGTGCACACCTTTAATCCCAGCACTTGAAAGACAGCGGCAGGTGGATCTCTGTGAGTTCAAGGCCAGCCTGGTCTACAAAGTGAGTTCCAGGACAGTTAGGACTGTTACACAAGAAAACCCGTCTCAAAAAATTAAAAACAAAACAAACAAACAAACAAACAAACAAACAAAACAAAACAAAAAAAGTGGGGTGGAGAGGGAAGGCTGGAGCTGCTCTTGCAGAGGACTGGAGTTTGGTTCCCAGCACCCATGTCAGGTGGCTCACAACCACCTGCCTTAGTGGTACTTGTAGCCACTATTGGGGTGCATACACAGAGATAAAAAAGGATCCCACACTGGGGATGTAGCTCAGTGGTAGAGCCCTTGTCTGTCCTTCCAGGCCCTGGGTTTAATTCTTTACACCACAGAAACAAACAAACCAATAAACCACAGCGCTGGGTAAAGTGCTTTCTGCTGCCTGGGGCCTAGCCTGCTGCCTGGGGGCTAGCCTCCAGCAGTGCAGGGCTGGAAAGAAATGCAGGGATTCTGGAGTACGACTTTTTTATCTGAAGGGAAAGACACTCACCCACTCTCTTGATGGTTCTTTTTTCTGTAATCTTTCTTCTGTATTCTCCATTCTCCATTCTTACCTCTCTCCAGAAACATCCCTTTGGTCTCTCTTGATGTTTTCCTTCTAACTCACTTTATTTTCTCACTTACAGCTTATGTACCCCCCCCTCGCGCGCAAAATATTTCAAGCAATATAAAAATTACAATGCAGTTACATTCATTTTTCAAGTGAATGATTACAATGAATACAAGTAAAAAACAGCATGTTTTCCATATCCCTTACATGATTAAACATTTTATGTACTACAGATAAAAAACTAGTTGTCTGAAGAACCCACGTACATTCATACCCAAACAACTTCTAATAGATTAACAGGGTGTGAGCAAGCAAGGTATTTTTCTCAGCCAGTTCTTTTCTAGCAGGCTGCCTATTGCAATTACAAAGAAAGAATTAAACACTTTATTGCTTATCTTGAAAGGTGATCTTATAAGGAATCTTAAAGGAATCACAGACCTTTTATACATGAAAAACAGTCAGCTCTACTTTAAATCTTTAGGGTATATCAATAGTCTTTTATATCAGGAGACTGAGGGCAGAAATGGGTACAAGGAATTAATCATCATCTTTGGTCACTAACCAATACTAGCAAGGAAAGTATATCAGCTAGTAATATTTGGACTGCTTTGTCCTTTTGTCCTTTGATCCTAACCTAATGAAATTATAAATCAACTATGTGTCCTTGTAAACTTTAGATTGTTTTCTGGGGTTTTTCATTTCAAAGCTATTATCAAAACATCTCAATCTAACCTGATGTTATTTTAAGGCTTTGATTCAGCTCTGATGCACACTGAAACCTGTGAGTGTATCTTTCAACATCAAGATTTAAAGAATTTAAGCCAGCCTGGCTCCTAGGACTCAATTGTTTTCCTTAATCATTTCTTTTGTTCTGTTTTCTTTTTTTGTTTTGTTTTCCTTAGTCACTAACCTGAACTGTGATCCCTGCAGCTCCTGAGGTGGAACTCCTAGGTCCTAGCTGTGTGATGCTTCCTTGTGTTTATTTTCAATCATCAAAACTCTATTTAAACTAACATCAGTATTATCAATTAGACAATACAGCTTAGGAAGAAATCATCTTCATAATAGTCCACAAGTAAAAATGCTCAGTAGAACAGGATATTTCCGTGAGATAAACACACCGCATTACAGGCAGTGGGGATCTCCCCACACTCATTCACACTATGCCAGATACTGGAGAAGGATGGCAGCAGCAAACATGTAAAGGCACAGCAGAAGCCAAAGACATTCTAGAGTCTGTGGTCTCGGAGCCTTGCTTATCCGAGATTCACCCATCACGGATTCACTTCCTGGTGGGTTGACTCCCTGAAGTCAACTGCCATCTGCTGCTCCTCTGACATGGCCATTGGCAGTGGCTCATGACTCTAATCACAACACTGGAGAGGCGGAGGCAGGAGGATAGTTCAGGGCCAGCTTGATGTATATAATGTCTCAATAGACCTAGGACTGGGACCAGTGAGATGGCTCAGTGGTTACTGCCAAAGGTAATGACCTGAGTCAGGCCCTCAAGGTAGAAGCAGAGAGAGGATTCCTGTGAGTTGTCCTCTGACCTCATACACTCACTGTGGCAAGTACATGCTCCACACATACTCAGACACACTCAAGACAGAGTGAATAAATATAAACAAATGCAATTATACATGAATATATTTCTTCTTCTTCTTCTTTTTTTTTAAGACAGGGTCTCTCCATATAGTCCTGGCTGAACTGCAGCTTTTTATGTAGACCAGACTGGCCTTGAACTCACAAGACATCCTCCTGCCTCTGTCTCACCAGTGCTACAATTAAGGATGTTCACTATTATGCCTGGTGAAATAAAATATTTTAAAAAAACACCTGGCTGGGGATGTTGCTCTGTGGTAGAACATTTATACGCATGAGGCCCTGGGTTTGATTCTCAATATTGTAAAATGTAATACCACCCAAACCTTCATAAGACCAAAGATGCTCCATCAATGATAAGTTACTAATATATGTAAATATAAAATGTATATAAATACAATTCATATACATACATAGTCACATATGTATATATACCATGGATAACTATTTGCTTTCCCTCCTGCAAACAATAGCTGTAAGTTAATGACATTTATTTATTTATCTGTCTTTGATACAGGGTCTCACTGACCTGGGCTAGCCTCGAACTCTCAGTCCTCTTCTTCACTTCCTTAGCATCTGGGATGACAGATGAGCATCACTGTGCCTGTTTCCTAGTGACAGCGAATTTACATACATACCACCCAAGGTGCTTGTCCCTTTGCTCCTCAGGGACATCCTTTCTGCATCTGTCCTTGGGAGCCCTGCTTCATTGGTCTTCCTCTGTACCTCAAATCTCTTCTCAATATGCACATAGCTCCCACTATGTGAAAACCAAACTGGACCCCTCGTCATCCCCTACTAAACTTCCTTCTCGGACTCCCCCAAATAGCAAAGTTACTTCACAAGTATGTCCGCCCTGCCCGTGTTTCTGCACTACATCATCGGTCTCCTCCTGAACTTACTCCAGCCAGCCTTTATCTCTGTTGCTTCTCCTTGCCCCAACCGTAGTCCCTAAGTGCTAACAGACTCTCTGTCACCTACACATGGCCCTCCTAGCTGAGCAAAGTGGGGCCAAGCTCAAGGTGCTTATAGGCACAGAATCCAGGTCTCCTAGTACTCTTCTAGTGCCTAGAAAAGATGACATTGCTGGGGAAGTGCCTCTAGCTGCCCCTGGTCCCCAGAGGTGGACATCTAGGGGAGGCCTAGGAGAAGATGGAGGCGTTCGGAAGCAAAACAGCCGCTGACTTCTACCATGGGACCTGCCCTGTGCCCACCTTGTGAGGTGTGTTGATCACAGCGATGTTGTAGCCGTACTGGAAGACTGAGCCAAAGGATGCACTTAGGGTAGTCAGGACCAGCGTGGACTGCAGGCGCTGTGTGAGAGAGTTCCTTGAGGTCAGAGACTCTTGGAGGGTTGGTTCCTGGAGCTTCTAGGATTGGGGGTGGGGTGAGGGAGGGTAGGCCTCCACTTCCTCCTGAGATGGACAGGAAGGTCTGGCTGGGAGCAGGCTATAATCCTGGAAGGAGGAGGAGGGGGCTGTTTGGGAAGGTGAGCCAAGCTTGTGCTGTCCGAGGACTCCCTGTTTCCAGGCACACGCTTTTCCTGCCTTTCCTTAGGGGTGAAGGAGCAGGGTCTGGCCCCCACCAGGCTTCGCTGGAGCGTGCATGCTCTGAGCCCCGGGGTTTGGGTGTGGCAGTCTCCCTGCGACCTGGCCATCTCGGCAGGCACTCCCCCCAAGTCCTCCTTGATAGATGGATTCCAGGGCACTCATCTGCAGACAACCGTCTCCAGCTTGGTGGGAGAGAGGCGGTTTCCAAAATTGACACTTACCCCTTTCTTGTGTGGTGTGGGCAGAGGCGTCCCTGTCCCCTTGTTCTCCATCCTCATTCAAGTAGGCAAACAGGTACACTCTGCCTCTCAGATGCCACCTGGCCCTGCTCTGTACTGGCTGCCAGCTGGATCTGCTGAGTTTCCTCGAGGCTGGCTTAGTTAGTATACGATCCTCTTGCCCTCTGGACCTTAATGGCTTTCTGCAGGAGCCTTGACAGGTTGATAAGATATGTGTTGATGCTTTGCCAGTGGCATCCATGTGCAAAATGGGTTATATCTTTGCATCCTACAACTGCCAATCAGCAGCCCCCCAGTTCCCACAAGGAGGGAAAAGGTACTGGTTACTCCCCCAAAATGAGTTTTGGAAATCAAAGCAAGCTGCAGTTTCAACCCCAGTGGCTTCTGTGAGGCTGGATCGTCTTAGCCAGCAGTCTTGAAGCTCTTCTGGATGCAGAATTTTGGGGAGACTGTAATAGAGGCATTTTGAAATGCTGGATCACCTTGGCCGCCTGTCTTCACTAGTCTCTTTGCTCAGAAAATAAATAAACTTTTAAAGGTAACATACATACTTGCATTAATTCAAGTACAGACTGTGTATTGTACATAAGTTGGCCAAAGATGATTTTTTGTTTTATGTCTGAGCAGGTAAAATATACATCACGTGTCTTGTAGTTACTTTAAGTTTATTTTCTTATGTCTGTAGTCAGGATTTCAGGGGGTCTTCCTCGATCAAACCTGGTTTTCCTTAACCCAGAAGGAATCCATAACTTCTCATTTTCTGTGGAAATAAAAGTGTAACCTCTCCCCCAATGTAACACATCTTTTGACTTTAATTTTGAAATCAAAATATTTTCGAAATATATAGGTTGGTTTAATCCAGCAGCATTTATAATCTGGTGTGTCTTAGCAGCCATTGCTCCTTCTTCAGCAGTCAAAAAATTCAAAGACATCACAATAACATACAGTGTTCAGACTCTCTGTATATTTTCCATTTTTACATGGCTTATTACATTTTTTTTATTATTCTTTTCCTTTTTAAGGACTTTATTTTATATATATATATATATTGGTTTTTTGAGATAGGGTTACTCTGGGTAGTTTTGGTGCCTTTTCTGGATCTTGCTCTGTAGACCAGACTGGCCTCGAACTCACAGAGATCCACCTGGCTTTGCCTCCCGAGTACTGGGATTAAAGGCATGCACTACCGCTGCCCAGCTTAAAACTATATTTTTTTAAATCTAAGACTGTATATATTTTTCCTCTTCTCTCTCTCAAGCCTACACATATTTTTAAATACACTGTGACGCATTTAGAGACTCTTTTTTGTAGCTAGAGTTTTCCTGCCTGGCCCACAGTCAGGACAAATTTTTGACACCCGCCGGTCCCACAGCCGCTCAAACCTGACCAAGTAAACACAGAGACTTATATTGGTTACAAACTGTATGGCCGTGGCAGGCTTTTTGTTAACTGTTTTTACAGTTTAAATTAATTTATTTTTATTAATTTATATCTTGTTATATGGCTCATGGCTTACCGGCATCTTTACATGTTGTTTTTTATTATGGTGACTGGCAGTGTCTCCCTGACTCAGTCTTTTATTTTTTAGTTTTTTTTTTTTGTCTCGCCTATATTTTTTGTTTAGTCAATGGCCAATTAGTGTTTTATTTATTGACTAATCAGTAACATATTTGTCATATAGAACATCCCATAGCACTTCCCCCTTTTTTTTTAAAAGGAAGATTTTAACCTTAACAAAGTAAAATTATACATAATTTGGGAATTTGGGCATAGCTTTTTTTAATATTTTTTGTTGGATGGGGGTGCTGTATCTTATGGGGAAACAAAGAAAATTTTAGAATTATGGAATAGTCCATGAGGCTGTATCGTCTGAGCCAGTTGCCTTTAAACCGTTTTGGATGTTGGATCATCTGGGCCATGGTGTCATCGGAGACCTTTTAAGTGGTCTTGGCTGGTCAAACCTGATGTGTCTTAATCTGGAACAAATTTATAGCCTCTGGCTTTCTGTGGGGACAAAAGAGACTCTTTTTTAAAGTAACATATCTTTATATTCAAATTTTGAAGTGAAGGTACCTTTAAAATATATATTTTGGGGCTGGAGAGATGGCTCAGAGGTTAAGAACACTGGTTGGTCTTCCAGAGGTCCTGAGTTCAATTCCCAGCAACCACATGGTGGCTCACAGCCATCAGTAATGAGATCTGGCACCCTCTTCTGACCTGCAGGCATACATGTAGGCAGAACACTGTATACATAATAAAATAAATCTTTAAAAAAAAATATATATATATTTTGGCATAACTTAACAGCTTTTATAATCAAATGTTTTTTTGTAGTTAAAAATCTCAAAGACAACACAATCTAGATTTTTTGTGTAATATCTATTTTTACGTGACTTATTTTTTATATTACCTTTACTGTCTCTTTAAAGACTTTATTTTTAAAAACTATTTATTTTTTATATAACTGTATATTTTTTTTAAGCCTACATACATTTTATACACATTGTAAACTATTATATCTGAATCTGTCTTATTGTGAATCTATTGCTTTAAGCTGCAGCAGCTGTGGCTGCTGGCTCCGCCCATCTCAGCTTCCCAACATGGCGGTGGTTTACCACCAGCTCTGGGAGCTATCATGGGTCTATGCTTTTAGCCAAGCAGCGTGTAGCCCAGAAACCTCTTTTTTTTAATTTTGTATTAGTAAAGTCTAAATCTATTATGTAGTTTAATGTGTTATTTGTAGAGGCCTTATTTTTGTCATACTGTAGGTCGAGCACACACGCTAGGAACCCGCCAGTAGTTTAAACCAGTAGTTGTCGTTTATTTGAGAGAGACAATTAGGAAGCTGTTTTTAGTTTAGAATCTTTTTTTTAGTTTTTAGGTGGAAACTCTTGCCCCACGTTGGGCGCCATTTGTAGCGAGAGTTTGTCCTGACTGTGGGCCAGTCAGGAAAACTCTAGCTACACTTTTTGTCTGAATCTGTCTTTACTGTGCATCTATAACCTTTTATGTCTGCATGAGCAAAAAACTGCTGTGTGGCATGCTGATGGCTGGCTTGTCCACCTTGGTTCTCTGAGAGCCTAGTCTTATGGTGGAGGCACAGTTACCACCAGCTATGGGAGCCATGTTTACCCACCTCAATTCTGGGATGTTTCTGTGTCCATGCCTCCACTGAGCAGTGTGCCACCTGCTGGTCATAAATGCCATATAAGGTAGTAGGGCCTCTTAAAAGAGCTATCAGTTTCAGCCACCAGCACTGAGCCAGGAAGCTATCTCTTAAAGGAGCTATGCCTCTGCTCACCACCAGCAAACAGAGTCCACTGGAGAAAATTCAGCTACCAAGAAGCCATGTTTGACTTCATTCTTGTGTGTCTAGAATCCTTTTTTAAGCTTTGTCAGGTTTTATATGGACATTCTGATCAAACATTTGGGTGCCATATGTAGGCAGAGTTTTCCTGTCCTGACCACTTGTTCCTAAATAACCATCAGCTACTTCCCAAATAACTGACTTGGAGACTTAATATAAGTTATAAATGCTTGGCCAATAGCTTAGGCTTGTTATTAATTAACTCTTACAACTTAACCCATTTCTATTAATCTATGTGTTGCTATCCCATTTTGTATGTTTGTTCTATCCCATTTTGTATGTTTGACTCATTCTCCATCTGGCTGGTGACCCCTCTGACTCTGCCCTTCCTCATCCCATCATTCTCAGTTTGTTCTATCCCATTTTGTATGTTTGACTCATTCTCCATCTGGCTGGTGACCCCTCTGACTCTGCCCTTCCTCATCCCATCATTCTCAGTTTGGCTTTCCTGCCTAACTTTATCCTGTTCAGCTATTGGCCAGTCAACTTGTTTTTTAAACCAATCATAGCGACACATAGTCACACAGTGTACAGAAGGATTATTCCACAGCAATAAAAAATGATGAACAGAGGCAACTCAAAGAAGAGAGAGTATATTTTGGCTCTAGTTCAAGAGAGGTAAGAATCCATCAGTGCGGGGAGGCACAGCAGCAATTGGTAAGCACCAGGGCAGGAAGCCTAGAGCTCACATCTTTAAGCAAGCACAAATCAGAGAGAGCAAATTAGAAGTAGGATAAGGATACATACTCTCACAGCCCACCTCCAGTGACATCTAGACCTCCCCAAACTACACAACCAACTGGAAACCAAGTGTTCAAATACCAGAGTCATGGGGGACATTTCTCACTCAAACCACCATGGTGTGTGTTTGCATGTGTGTGTGTGTGTGTGTGTGTGTGTGTGTGTGTGTGTGTGTGTGTGTGTGTATGCATGTGTATGCATGTGTGTGTGTGTGTGTATGCATGTGTGTGTGTGTGTGTGTGTGTGATGTGAATGTGTGACTTTGAACATGCACATGGAGGTCTCAGGACAACTTCAGGTATCTATTATCAGCTTCTACCTTGTTTGAGACAGGGACTATTACTCTTTGGTGCTTCATTCGCTAGGTTAGGGGGCTGTCAGCTTCTGAGGATGTTCCTGTCTCTGCCTCCCACCTTGACATAGGAGCACTAGGATTCGGACCCATGCTACCATGTCCAGCTGTTCCATGGTTTATAAGAACCCAGTGTGGCGAGGATTTTACCGACTGAACCATCTCCCTAGCCTACAACCTTGTTATTTCTAATTGCACTGAGAAATTAAAGTATTAGAAAAAAGTGACTAGAAGTAATTAGTAAATAATGGTAATTGATGTGGTTTAGATCTTTGATACCCCAAAACCCGTGTGTTAAAGATTTGGGCCCAGCTTGTTGTGGTGGAAGGTGGTGGTGAGAAATGTGCTCTTAGAGAGGATTGTGGGATGTCTGTCTCTTCCCTTCCCTTCACTTCCTGGCTGTGAGGGGAATAACCTTCACCCACTGTGTGTTCTCATTTGACATGCTGACTCAAGACACAAAAGCAAAAGGACAAACTGACCATACAGTGATGGTTCCTAGGCAGAAATGAGTACATTCCTATTTTAAAGTTGGTTATGGAACCGGCAAATGACTCAGAGGGTAGAGTTGTG